CACAATAATGTGTCGAAACGCGTAGGAGGCAGAAAAGAAAAACCAACGTTTTTGCTTTAAAATCAACGGCCGAAAAGCTCCAAATATACAAATCGTAACAATTTATATACATTGGCCCTATCTAAAAACTGGCGTTCATTTTTGTTTATCTATCTTTTGTCTTTGACGTTTCTTCTCTATTTACTAAAAGTAATCGATAAATCCTGGTTGCAGACGGAGAACTTATCTTTTTAATACAGAATTATATCATAACTCGGATTTCAGAGGCGAAATATTGTATTCTTAATTACGTATTGGATAGCTCAGCTGGAAAAAAGCAGATAATCTAGCTAAACAAAAACACCTAATATAACAATATTGTCAAATTTATTAAAGGCAGCAGTCTACCGGATATCCGATTGGATATCCGAAACCTGCTCTTATTTTTTACAGGATATCTCTATCCGGCACATCCCTACTGAAAACTAAAACACAATGGATCTTTGATAATACAGCAATTACCAGCACAACTATTTTTGTTTGCAAATGTATATGGCTTTTGCAATGTGGAACGAAAGTGATAAAAGAAAGCTTTTGAAAACTTTCAAAGCTCTGTCAATATTTTGCCATACCCATTAGCTATTGTAAAGAAATCCTGTTTGATATAAAATCAGTTACATTTGACGCCAGCCAGTGCGATTTTTGTGAAGACTGCCTAGAGGCGGGCTTCGGCATTAGAGCGCCAAGTATCTATGCAGTTTTATAGCCCATTCAATTTTAGTATAACAAAGTGCAAGTTTGAAGTTGCTAAAAAATCGCTTTGATTTTTGGCAATTTTTTCACGCAGTTTCTTCCATACAAAGTATGTTCCACAAATTTTTTTTTTTTTAATGGAAGAAAATAACGCCAGCAACAAATTTTCAAAAATAAATTAGATTTTTAAGCTACTTCAAAATTGCACTTTGTTACACTAAAATTTAATACTTGAATGATTGCATACTTAGAATTTTTCTAAAAAATCTGATATTTATGTTTTTTGTTGTAGTATGGACTATATATATATTTTTTTTTGTGAAAAAAATGACAATAAAAGAATTTGCATGCATTGCGAAAAATTAACGTTTTTGTTTCATCTGGATTATTATGCTATTTTCGATTACGCCTAATGTGAAAAAATTAAAAAAAAAAATGCAGGTTGAAACATAGTTTGTGTTAAGACTTACCCTTGGTGATTTCCGTGAAACATATTTTGTGCATTTCCGTCCATCAGAGATTTCAAATGTGACAAATCAAAAGTTTATTTCTTCCACGTCTGTTGCAGTTGTAATATACAGTGCGATTTACTTGATACACAAATTAGGAGCCTGTTGATCGATTGACGCTGTGACGATGCAAATCGTTTCAACACTCCTTCCAATTGAAACCGCGCTCATCCGTTCAAAAACAGGATCAAAAAGTTTTTCTAGCCGTCCCCCTCCCCCCCCCCCCAATATTGGTGGGAGGAAGTTAAGTGTATTTGCGACGATCTATGTGTCGAGTATCTTTGATTTTTTCTTTGCAATATATTTGATTGGAGATTTATTGTGTCAGTGCATTCAAGGTATACTTTTCCTTTAAAAATTAAGAATTAACATACACATGTGGTTTCGCCTGTTTTTTTATCATATTTACCGCATTTGATTACTTTTTTAAGCTATTCAACGAGGCTATTTATTTATGATATTATCAATTTGATAAAACAACTAATTTTGAAATGCACACAAAACTTTTAACTTACGGTTATTTTCGAGTGTAAACGTTGATAGGACTCGACATTTTTTATCAATGGCACAAAGCTACCAAAAAGAAAGTACTTAAGGTCGCAGTAGCATAACTTTTAAATTTTAAATTCGTAATGAAACTGGTTTTAAGTAAATATAAGTTGAGAGTTGAAGTGCTGCTATACACAAGTCATTATCCGACAATACGTTTGTATTGATGGGATATCTGAAATAAAACGTAAGAAGAAATATACTACATTTAGTAAATGTGAAATATGTACATATCTAAACAAGATATAAAAAGGATAGTGTTCCGTTTTTGCGTTAACATCGTATCTGATATACAGTCAGTCTAAAGTATATTAGAAAAAATGTTTATTTTCTTCCAATGGGATATAATAAACGAATTTTTCACTTAATATTTATGGTTCTACATTAGTGAAGTTTTTGTTTTATTTTCAAATCATGTGACGCTTAAACTGTTGTTATACATACACCTGCGTTCAACTAATTAGCACCGAAATTAAAAATTATGTTCACCCTCATTGTGGGAGTCGTGTCGAACGCAAGACGTTTTTCGAGAGTCGAATCGTATCAAAAACTTCACGTCATTGCCTAAAATTTCCACTCGACTAGTGTATAAAAACGGAAAACTTGGCAGCATTGTATAGTTTGCGACAATTTTCGTCGTTTACTTATTTCAATTCAATAATTCAATCTATAGAAACCACATAAATAAAAGTTTCAAAGCTTGCACAAATTGAAAAAAAAAAATAATAACCAAACTTAAAAAAAATGCATCAAAGTTTTCAAATTTTATATTAGAATATTTAGAAAATTTTCAGGTATGCAGTTTGGTATCCCATTTAATTTTAGTCTAATAAAGTGCATGTTTCAAGTCGCTAAACATCACCGTTGATTCTTTAGATTTTTTTTAGTGGAGGGTGTAGCGCATTTTCTTCCATATAACGCATGATCAAAATCTATTTTAATATGAAAAAAAACCGCAACACAATTTACAAAAAAAAAAAATATATATATATATATATAAAATCAACGGTAATTTCTAGCGACTTGAAACTTGCACTTTATAAGACTAATATTAAATGGGCTACAAAACTGCATACCCGAAAATTTCCAAATATTCTGATTAAAAATTTAGAAATTTTGATGAAATCTTTTAGGTTTGATTAATTTTTTTAGTTTGTGCAAACTTTGAAGCTTTTATTTATGTGGTTTCGGTTATAGAATGCCATATATTTTAAATTAAAATTATTAAAAATAAATAAATAAACATAAGTTGCAAACTATATCATTTTTAATTTCGGTGTTAATTAGTTGAACGCAGGTGTAAGTGGTAATATTAGTTTTCCCAAAAAATGTAGATATGTGGTTAACACAGAAATTGGACGATACATTTCCTGTACATACTAATTCCATGTATGAATAAAACGGAAGTATTTATTATATACATATGTTGTCTAAATATGCGGTATCTGTGCACGATTGTGACCAAAAAAAATCAGACCGGCTAGATCAGTGTAAGGAAATAAGATTGATCCTGCAATACAAAATCTATACAAAAACTTTATTTTTTGACTGTAGATTGTATCGACGTTTTAATTTTCTCATATATTTCCTTAGTACATGCACGCATACATTCCCTTCAGGACCAATGATTTGATGGTAGTCAGGAGAAAGTTTTCTTGTTTATGTACACTTTTACAAATTGATTAACATAAATACATATCCACATATTTTCAGGTACACTCCTTAACAAGAAACATTTTTGAGCTATTACACTGCCCAACAAAATTCTGTTGCCTAAGATATTACAGCGGATTCTTATAGGATTTTTCGCGTAGAATCCGAATCTGGCCTTCAAAATAATGGATTGGCTCTAGTTTTCGATAAGCTTGGGTTAAACGGTGCCGAAAAACGCGTTTTTGATAATTTTTGAACCTGTGTTAAACAATAAATTTATTCAATATTTCTGTCTCTGTGGAAGGATATGAAAGCTTAAACACTGCACTTTAATACTGAAAATAAAAAATGACGCTCCGAACTAGAGATGGGCACGGGCCGGGCTTTTGGCAGGGGCCCGACGGGCCCCTGCGTAAGCCTGCGGGTACGGGCCGGAATATTTACTGTCAGCACGAACTCGTGCGGGCCTGGGCGTTCAGTAAAATTTCATAAAAGCACGAAAAGGCACGAAAAAGCCCGTTGCTAATACTAAAAATTTAGATGAGCTTTTGTTTTTATACAAAAAAAAAGTACATGTTTAAAATTCTTTTGATAAGAGAAAAGTAAAAAAAGAAATATTTGGAAACCGATAGAAAATATATGATACTTAGTAGTTTTGTTTACATACATATCTGTACATAAAATACCTTGCACTTTTTCTACTTCCCAGAAAATATATTATAAAAATCTACAATAAAAGTTGGCTCTTTATTTCCCGACTGGGGCGTGTCCCGTCGTGCCGGGCCGGGCCGGGCCCCACTAAAATTCTTAACGTGCGGGCTTGTGCGTGTTTTTGAAAGTTGATTTTGCACTCGTGCCGGGCCGGGCCTGAAAATTTAGGCCCGTGCCCATCTCTACTCCGAACACTGTAAGCAATTGGGAATAGCTTTTTATACAAGCTCGAACGATTTGTTTTTAAGAAAAAATTTTGTTTTGCTTGTTTTTGATGATTGTTCACAAATTTTGTGTTGACAAAAATGTTATAGCCAATTTTTATAGGATTTTTTCGCAAAATCCGAATATGATCTTGAAAGTTTTTAATTGCCTCTAGTTTTCAAGCAAGTTTAAAGGTGTCGAAAAACGGCATTTTTCGCAATTTTTTCATGTAACTTATTATTATGTCTAACGTCAAAAAATATTATTATTATTACACTGAGGGGAAAAAATATTAAAATCAAATAGAAACGTAATTGATCTTACTATAAACGTCAACAAAAGTACTGTATATTGGTAAATATTCAATTCAATTACGCACATATTAAAATGACCGCATTCATTCTGAAAAAGCATCCGTGAACTGAATAATCAAGACAAAAACTAAAAAAAAAAAAATTTAACTTGCATGTTGCCTGCAGTGGAATTCGAACCCCGTCCATCTCATATATATACTCAGATGTGAACAGTCAAATACGTGCGTAATAAATTTTGTATGAAAATATTATTTTTAAATTCGAACATTTTTAAACGATAATCAAATATAAAATATCCATTTTTACTATGCATTATTTCCCTCAGTGTAGGCAAAAATTTTCAGCGCCTCAGATCCATTTAAAACAATTGATAAAAAAAAGGGGCAAAACAAGATTTTTTCCCACAATTGCTTACAGTGTTCGGACCATAATATTTAGATTTTCAGTATTACAGGGCGTGTTTAAGCTTTCATACCTCACACACAGACAGATATATTGCAACAATTTATAGTTTTAAGAGGTTCAAAAATGCCAAAAACGCGTTTTCGGCACCTTTAAACCTAAGTTGATTGAAAACTAGACTCAATCCAATCAGACTCGGATTCTACGGAAAAAATCCTATAAGAATCTGCTGCAATATCTTGGGCAACATAACATTGTTTAAAATTTGTTGGCCAGTGTTATTACTGGCAAAAAAAAAACTTCTTTGAATTCGGTACTAAACCTTGACTTGGCATTTCATTAGTTATTTTAGTATTATGACAATATTCCTATCTGTACAGCTTATCAAAACTTTACAACACCCACATATTGACAAAATTTATCTAAATATTATTTAATTTTCATTATTTTTTTAATAAAAATACTGTTTATACTTTAACAAAAACCGTATAAATCCACGGTCCAATCTTTGAGCAACATTAGGTTAGGTTAGGTTAGGTTAGGTTAGGTTAGGTTAGGTTAGGTTAGGTTAGGTTAGGTTGGAGTTGCTGCCCCGCGCAGAGCGCGGAACACACGTGGAGCCCCTTTTTTCTTTCCCTCCCTTAGTAATTGAACCACCGAGTGCGTTTTAAATACACAATTAAATACAATAATTTTTAGGCGAAAAACAATATTATAAATTTAAAAAAATGGGCGTAGCCACGCCCACTTATGATTACATGTGTATATCTTGGGAACCGCTACACAAATTTCTCTCAAACTTGGTGCAGTTGTTGGTCTTGACAAGACATACCAAACGGCTGAAAATTTTTAAAATCGGACAATAACCACGCCCAGATCCCATATAACGGTAATTTAGAGAAATACGAAATCTTCGATAAATCAGTAAATAATAAAGCTAATTTATTCAAAATTAATACTTTCAATAATTCTTCAGCAAGAAAAACGTTGCTGATAAAATTTTGGAAAATAGGCGTGGCACCGCCCATTTATGATCACATATACAGATGCGTGCAACTAATTAGCAACGAAATTAAAAACGATATTGCTTGCAAATTATGTTTATTTATTTATTTTTAATTATTTTTATTTAAAATATAATTCAATCTATATCAGAAACCATAATAACAAAAGTTGCAAAGCTTGCACAAATTGCAAAAAAATTAATCAAACTTCTAAAATTGTCATTAAAATTTCAAAATTTTTAATTAGACTATATAGAAAATGTTGGGGTATGCAGTTTTGTAGCCCATTCAATTTTAGTATAATAAAGTGGAAGTTTCAAATTGCTAGAAAATCGCGTTGATTTTTGGCAATTGTTTTTAGTGGAAGGTGTTGCTCATTTTCTCCATACAAAAAATTATTGTCGAACATACTTTGGAAGAACCTACGTGAAAATAAATTGCTAAAAATCAACGCGATTTTTTAGCATCTTCAAACTTGAACTTTCTTATACTAAAGTTGAATGGGCCATAATACTGCATACTTAGAATTTTTCTAAAAAATCTGAATAAAAAGTTGCAAATTAGTATGCAATTTTATTGAATTTTCCTGAGTTTTGCACAAAGTTTAGTGATTTTATTTTTATGGTGTTTGGTGTAGTATGAACCATATTTTTATAAAAAGATAATGAAAATAAATTAGAAAAAAAATCTTTGCCTATATTGCGAAAAATTCATTGTTCCACTGTGTTGTTCGTCACTGTATGTATAAAATTGGTTTATAACACTGTGCGACAGCCGAAACCAGCTCGGACTTTGATACTGGGAGATATAGAAATTTAAAACGCGTTGATTCGAAAAGGATGATTCGATAAGGCCAAAATAGTACGAAATCTTTTAATAAAGATCGAATCCTTCTGATTCGTATGGAGTTTTGC